TGGGTGGCGCTTGGCCTGTCACTCGATCCGTCATATCTACATGCTTATAAACAGTAAAGACTGGGGACCCAGGTTGTATGGAACATAATAAAATAAGCCATCATGGATCGGGAAATTGAGCGGCCATTCACAAAAGAATAGTTGGAGGACTTCGCCGCTTCGACGCGCCGCGCGAACTAGCATTCTTGCTTCGCAGAGTAACGATCTCGACGGATTGACATCGTCAATCAAAAGAATAGCGGCCGCATTCTTGTTGTTTTTAAATACCGGTCCCGGTGAGTCCCTATAAAATATTCTTTAAAAGCAATAACTGCCGAGTGCCGTATAAATCATTTGGAAAGCTAGGTGAAGCCTGCAGTAAGGATACGAAGCGCGCGTAACATGTATCAAGTATTCATTATTCTGCGGCCTTTTTTTATCGTCATCTCTCCGCTCACAACTGTTTGCAAAATTGGTTCGGGAGCACATGTGAATATGAAAAAGCGCTTTATTAATATAATCTTCATTTAACTGGAAGCATGATAAGGTTTTTAAATCGTAATGTGTTTGATAATACATTACTCCATGTCAACCCAATTTATTTCCGAACTAGAGCCAATACAACTGATGGAGCTAAACTCGATATATCTGGATTCTGGGTATCTCATCAAATGTTACTGTCAGTATTTCAGCACGTATCGCTTGTATATTGTGCTCTGCCAATTGCATCACTTGATTTGATTGAAATCCCCTCTTAAAGTTGAAACACAAAATTGGACAAATTAGGTGGTTTTAGAGGATTTGCCAGTAAAATGGTATTATAATACGACACAATATATGCATACAAGGCCCTAATCACACATTATCCCACCACCACTTGTACGAGTGGCGTAACGTTGCCTGTTGGCGCCCCGCTGAAAAAAGCACCCCCTGTTGCATTGGCACCCCTCCCCTTTCGGTGCCCCTCCCTAAAGTTGCACAAATTAGATGATTTTAGAGGATACGCCGGTAAAATCTCTAAAAAAGAGTACTTCTAGAACAAAGTGCGCAGGTTTGCTAGTACTGTAGTTAAGTTTTTCTAGATTGTCCCACACTCAATTAAAACAACGATTTGGCGCCCCCCTAAGATGGCCCTTCGTTACGCCCGCGCCACTGACTTGTACCTTAACACATCCACTTATTTTACCCCGGTATCCATCAGGGATGCTATACCCAGAGGCATGTTATCCTCTTGTGGACCACCAGGTCCAGCCTAATTGGGTAAATGAGACGCTTTATAGGTTATCTGAGAGACTGCCGATATTGGAGATTGTGATAATTTGAACCTCTATATACCAGGTTTTTTCTATACCGTGCACTTTTCGTTTTCTCCATGAAGAGGCCTGGTATACAGAGGTTCGGATGTAGCAATTTGCGAGAAATCAAGAAGTGATAGTGACTTGAAATATGGTATGTATGTAAATTCTATACATATTGAAATATTGTGATGAAACGTTTTAGGAACTGCTCCTTCACAAAATTGTTTGTTATTATTATTAAAGTCACACTTTATGTGATATGTCCTGTATTTATATATATAAAATAATAATACATTTTTTTTGATAAATCATTAATGCTGGAGTGGTGGGGAAATATTTATATATGTGATGATGTGTTTCCATAAATTTTACTTTACTTAATTTACTTAATGGATGGGCTACAACTAACTTAATGCTAATACTAGTCACCTTCACAATACACATTAAGTGTCTTATTGTTCCCAAGGAATTGGATCAATCTGGAGTGACTTAATGAATATTTTCATGCTACTGTAGCTTTTTATCTCTGGTTATCCTTTTGGAATTCAGGCATTTATTAACTCTTCCTCATTCCACTTGCCACTTGCCATCTCCTTCATCTTCACATACATTTCCACATGGCATTTTTCTGGAGGGTTGTCACACCCAAGAGGCTATTGTGCTCTTAGGTGGGCATAGGTTCAGACTCTAGTAAAAAACAGATGGGCTAAGCAGTAAACTTGAGTTATGATGAAATTTAACATTCACTCTAATTGAATAAGACGGCTATATATATAATCTGCCCGATGTTAAAAGCTTTAGTGATTCGTATAAGAAACAGCTACTATCATCTATAACAACAGACCCTAATTATACCGTCGACAATTCATATGACAAATTTTACACTGCAATCATAGTCGCCGATAACTAAGTAACTTCTAATTCTTTTAAATCTGAGGCATATATAATTGATGTATCGAAAAGATATTCCCTTTTTTACCACCTTACCATTCTGATTGATTTTGCACATGACTGACATGTTTTAACTGGAGAAGGGGTTCCCACAGTGGTAGTTTTATAAACCACTTTTAATTTATTGACCTATTATACTTAGTGGTAGTTTTATAGACCACATTTAATTTATTAACTTATCATACTTAGTATTTTTTTTTTGGTGACTGTATCACCCAGTTTTAACATTTGATAATTGTACAGTTTATTGACGACACATTGACTGAATGTTATTTCAGTTCGCAGTAAACCAATTTGTATTTGCACTGTTTTTTAGCTCGCTTATCAGTGATCGTTATCAGTGAAAGTGTTACTCGCCACGTCGACTTTCAACAGCGCCGACTGTGTAGCATGGATTTTTCAGTGGACCGGCTCAACGCGATGGACCATGAGATGACATCAGAAATTCAGAAAATATTCAAGGTTGCCAATGTTTCATGTAGATCTGACTTTACTGAGACCGCTTTAATGAAACTTAACAAAAATCCACTCGTCAAAATCATCGGCAGCTTAATGAAATTGGCGGAGAAGAATATTGAACTTTGTAAAAGTGCTGCTGGGAAAATTGATGTCATGAAATCGGAGAAAATAGCGGATCAGAAACTAATTATTGAAACTCAACAAGGACAGATGAATTCAGTTCAGGAGACAGTTAAATCAGAAATGAAAAGTTGGACGGATGTTGTCAAGAAAAACACTGCTCAGCGTCCTAGCGGGAAACCTTTAACAGAAAACTCTATCAAACAAGCCGTCAGGACTGTAAATGAAGAGAAGAAACGATCGAAGTACTTGATGATCTACGGTTGCCATGAAAGTGATAAAGAAGCCGATTTTGAGCTCAACAAAGTTGTCAAGGACATACTTTACGGAACTGACGCTTTCCCCGTGCTCCGCACTGGTGAGGTCTACAGAATCGGAAGGAAGGAACCGGGTAAGAATAGGCCTATCAAGGTCGAATTTGGTTGTGCCAGTGAGGTAGACTTGATTTTGATGCGTGCACGAAACCTCAGAGACAGTGACTCTTTCAAACATGTTTATTTGGGACCGGACAGAACCAAAGAGGAACAGCTTGCACATAGTAAACTTGTTAAGGAGATGAAACAGATGATCCAGAAAGACCCAAATAAACATTATTTCATACGCGACAGAAAGATCTGCACGGCTGATAAAACCTTATCATCTCAAACGTCCCAAAGCTCCTGATAAGAGTTAATGTATGATGTATGTTGAGTGTTATTTGGTGCTGACTGGAGTTGCCGTGTGTAGATTTACCACTTTTTACAATTAATAAATGAACCGCGTTGAAAGCTTATTTAGTGTGTTTTTTTCAGTGCTGAGACTGGTAAATGTTAAAGTAACAGAACCTGAACTGCAACTCATATTTTTATGCTATTTTCTAGTTACGTCGACACACAATGCTAAATAGTTTTCGGAGGCTTGCTAGAATTTTATTCTCTATGTTTCTCTATAATTTTATATTGTATGTTTTTTATATTTCGGTACAGACCAGCGCCCATTGGGCGTATTCAATCAATCAATATATTCTAATTTATATTCTAGATATTTTATTTATTTTACAACAGACGACAACTTCCTGTTTTTTCTTCTATATTAGTTACTCATATCTCTTGTACAGACTTTTTTACAAGGACATTGACAAATGATACTCACATTAGGCATTCATTATTGCATCTAAATTATTTCACTTGCATTAGGCTTAGAAATTTATTCTCTGGTCAACAGATTTCAAATGTTTAATTAATTTGTAGTATGACAGTAAGGTATATAAGAAGTTATTTAATTTTGCTTGGGCTATTATATTGACTAGGTATTGAGGTTTAATGATGATATGGAATTTGAATTCTATATAAATTTACACTATGTGGTTGGGGCATTTTGCATAGTAAATATGGTTACTACTCATATATATCATATTATTTGATTGGTATTCGATTTCTGATTATTTCTCTAGGAATATGATTATTATATCTCAATTTGGCTTTAGGTAGGGTGCCCCGCTAAAAGAACTGGATTCTTTCAGGAAGCATCCCGTGCACAGAGCTTGGTCTACATATATATTAAATTATTAACCATTCATTCTGTATGTGCACGAAAATTTATTTCAATCAATATATTTATAAATAGAGTATGGTATAATCATAATATTTTCTTTTTAGAAAACACATTCCTGCAGAAAAACCTTTGCTACGAATTTATTCCCAGATTATCTTACTCTTTCCCTAAGTATATAATCTAAGTATTAGTTGTTCTATTTATATTGAGTCGCATAATTTAGCTATTATTATATTTCATTATGAAATGTTTGAATTGTATCTGTCCACGAGCTCAGCATGTGCATTGTCCAGTCTGATTGAATCTTGAATGTGTACGTTGTTAGCTGTTGATGTGATCTGTTGAGTATGTAACTGTAAAATTACATTTTAGATTTTCTTAAATATCACTTAAAATGTGCACGTTTTTGGGTTGAACAGCATTTCTTGATTGAGAATGAAGTTACCAGTAAAACTGTTTGTGTCTATATAGTGAAAAGGACAATAAGTTGGTGATACCTTGACCAGTTCTGTATGCTGGCCATAAATTTGATTGTGCTGTTCCTTGAAAATATTCTTTTCATAAGAATTATTTACATCTAGACACTTCCTTTTAAAATTGTATCTGTTCCATAATTAAACAAGATTATTTCCTCATCATTGTATTAACCCGCGCACTAACAGCAGCCATATGAGAATACCAATGAAATGAATTTGAGATATGGTAGACGGTACGGAGCAAGTCTCCATGTCTCGACAACATTCCACCGCAGTTAGCGTCGCATCAAGACCGGGCTCGGTGAGCAGCAATATAACTGCGCAGGTACCTCTCACCCCATGGGAAAGACTGCAACAGGAACTCAATGAGTCTGAGAAGGTGTTGAAAGAGGTTGGTACATTTTAAAAATGCCAGTATTTTAATTTATTACTTTTCTGGATCGAGATGTTCGTCGACTTTCGACCCCCTTCCTTATCAAATAATGATAAATAGATATGTGTGACATAAGTAGCTGTATTTTCGATTGTTACAGGTCACTCTCGGGAAGAGAATTGGACACTACAGATTGGGGGGGAAATTGGGAACGGGAAACTTCTCAGTTGTGAAACTTGGAACTCACATCCTCACGAAAGGTGACTTAAATCTTGATGTTGTTTAGGAACCACTTACGTACACTAGATATTATCACTGCAACCCATCATTAGTATCTTTCAGTTGAAACATATTGCTTTCAGACACAATGCAATGTGTCTTTTTAAATACATCATCAGCCATTTGCATTGCGTGATTGACATCACGAGCAGTTGAGATGATTGAAATTAGGATCATTAGCCGCTACTCCATTCAGTGGCGCATATTTCCCTAAATTACAAGTCATAGATCCCATCACATACTGCTTAAAATGCACATTCTTAACTCCCCAAACTGAATCCGATCTTTTACAGAGAAAGTTGCCGTAAAAATGCTAGACAAAGGGAAGCTGGATCACAAGACCCAGAAGTTGTTGTCACGTGAGATTGAGGCAATGGAGGAAGTACACCACCCGAGCATCTTGAGATTATACGAAGTTATAGAAACTCTCTCAACCCAATACTTTGTGATGGAGTACGCTGCTGGTAAGTAGCAGGGTTAGCAGTTCAGTATCTCTATATCACAAAGGACCGTGTGTTTTCATCATAGATACATTGGGTGTAATTAGAGTTATTGGACTGACAAAAGTATCATTGTGGCTCGGAGAATGGGTCTTGTAACCTTGTAATCTTTTACTAGACCGATCTTTTGTGGGACCATAATTCCCATCTCTAAGTTTAATGTCTACGCTAAATACACAAGTTACAAGTTTTAGGAGGCTTTGTTGAGGGTAACCAGTAACCACGCTGTTTAATGCCACACATTATTATATAAACGGTGTTGTAGCTGCGCACAAACACACTATACGGTACACATCAACCAAAGAATGTAAAACTATTATAAGCTGAATTTATCTACCAGATTGAATTTGTGGGAATCTCTCCCTGCCCTTCACCCGGCATCTCCATTAAGATATTAAAGTAAGCTTGCTTCTCAAAGTGACACATAATACCGCAATGATTGGCTGACTTATATAAAGAGTTGATATATCTTCTGTTTCTGCAGAGCTCGCAGTATTCTCTCCTGGCCGGGGTTGCAGATTCTGAAAAACAAATTTTAGGGCGCTCATTATTTGTACGTGAAGTTGAATTCAGCAAGTTTATTAAGTGAAGAGTTTGCTATTATTACTATAACTACTATAGTACACACTACTATTATTATTGTTAGGCTTCTCTGTTAAAAGTGTAGTAGACCAGTGTAGTAACATAATGTTCACAGCGTATTATAATGTGTAAGAGACGATAGGAAATTCAGTAATCTTGACACGGGTTGAGGCTGTGTGGATTGTGAAAATCCCGGAAAAGGAATTATATTTATTGCTCATAATTAAACAAATCCTTGTCTCATGTAACAAATCCTTGTCACAAGTAACAGATCCTTGTCACAAGTGCGGAAAGACCGGACTTGGTAACCAGCTTGTTGTTTGGCTTTCCCTTTCCATCAAGTGCAAGTGGTCGTGAGGCCCGAAGACTTAAAAGAGATTGCCAGTATTATGCAGTGCAATAAAGTTTTATACCTTTTTAAAGGGCTTCTTTGCGACAGGGTAACTCTCGTGAAAAACTTTCAACTGCTGTACCGTGACCAGATATCCTGTAAAATGACCTTCAAGATAAGGTGCACGAAGTGGAGAATGGTACAGGGCTTTGGATCCAGACTTCACTTATTTTAGTACCACAACAAACCAGCGTACCGCTGTTAAGCTTTGGAAGGATCGGTCGTAGTTCATTATAATAAAAAGTTCGGCCGTACTGGTAACATCACGTGACAGTTTATGACAACCAGTGTTGTCGACTTGACAATGGATTTCACAAATTAGACCTTACAAAACTTTATCCCGCTTAATGGAGAGCAAGTTACGGTTAATATTTAATATTCAGTTCTACCAAGTAAAACGCCCTAACCAAGCCAGGGTTAATGTTCTGTTCCAGTAAGTGATTACCTATTATGGTTTAGACACAGTTAATATTCTATTCCAACTAATTTTATCTGTTTTAGACTCAACCGAATGAAAATTTGGCACTGTCTTGTTCTCACAAACCACTGAGTGGTACCCCATTTGAAAACGCATATTTAATGTCTAAAACATGTTTTAAAACTCATCGGCACGAATATAGAACAGTTATTAGACCGTCTTAACATGTCTGCAAATAACACAATATAAGTGACTGTTAATAGTAGCTAACAAGGCTTTGTCCCGCTCTAAAATATAATCCATCCTCTGTTCCAGACAGCGGCCCGGGCTCCACTCCCTGGAAACTAGACATTATATCTTCAATTTCATCCCCTCTTCAATTCCGTGAGGATAAAATTCTCTCTCTAGTGGACATTGGTATGTGGATGTTAAATAGCATGGAGCTCTGTTATGTCAACTGTATCTGGTCATTGTTGGTCAAATATACCATCAGATAGAAACATACAGCCCTGCAATGTATGCTCTACCCTTGTAAGGGTTCCTCCTTGTCTTTGGTCCAAGTCGTTACTCCACAGATTAAGTTTCAAACTTGTAATAATGAAAATGCCACAATGGCTGGGTGAACTGATTGGAGAACAGCATGTGCTAACAAATTTATTACCGTTGGGATTTCGGTGATCTGTTTTCCGGATTATTAGGTTAAATCTGCGGTATTTGTGTTATTTGATACTGGATGGTAGTGGCCAGTGGCACTGTGACTCTGAGATTAACGTACTAAGTCGCACGTGCTCTATAGTTCATGTACTATAATTACGGTCATGATATTCTTCACTATCATGCATAAGCTCTTTTTTAACACTTGAAACCAAGTAGGACAGATTATTATAAGAAAGTGAATTATGGTATGTAGTTTTAAAATGTCCAATGAATATATTATCCAGTTTGATAAGTGAGGCAGGCGTGTATAATATATGCCGACTGAACTATGAGATTATCATGTTGTAAATGAACAGTACTGAATTGTTGAAGTATGTATAATATGCAGCTCTACTACTCTCTTTACCCTCAATCCAGAGACCTTATGATGAACTAAAGGTCTCAACTCAGCGACTCAGCATTTAGCACATTAAGATATCTTCGGTGTTTAGCACATTGAGACATCTTGTACTGAGCAGTTAAGACAGTCTGGTTCGTATGTGGTGGAACAAACCGAGCTGTGGTAAATTATGTTAATTATCCCAGCCCATTAGCCCATTATCCACGGGTATTTATCAAGTGATTATCAAGTGATTATCAAGTGATTATCAAGTGATTATCAAATGAATTACGATACATATTCCCGCTCCTTATCCCTTATCAAGTTATCAGAGCTACTAGGAGACATTGAGTGATGTGGTCTCAACCCCAGTGTTATATTGGCTGTCTGGTCGGCAGCTTCGTGTCCTGGACCCCTCGGTTATGAGTCATGACGTATGTTACACTAAGCAATAGTAATGTGTGGTTCATTACGCGGCGCAAATAGTAATGTGTGGTTCATTACGCTTAGCAAATAGTAATGTACAGTGAGCTGTTTTGTGTTGAACAAGGCGTGTCTGGGTATGTTTACTGAAATAGTACGGAACAATGGAAGATATTCGTTGTAAGATATCAGAGGAGCTCGACTGACGTATTTCAAGCGGTCACGTGGTGCTAAAGTCACGTGGTGTTAAAGTGGTGAGATTTTATCATTATTAAATGTCAAGTTATTAGAATCTACCATGAACATCTATTTCATTGTTTGTTATGATAATGGGTTTATCATGTAAGATAAGTAATCCCTATTACTTTCTCCATTTAACTCAAAACCTTTCGGTCGAGTTTGGAGCATGATTGTGTTGAGAAAGTAACCCAATATAAATATAAGTTGTTGGTGGTATCAGTAGAGAGTATCCAGGTTGTTGGTTATGGAGTACTTGGTGGGTATCAGTAGAGAGTATCCAGGTTGTTGGTTATGGAGTACTTGGTGGGTATCAGTAGAGAGTATCCAGGTTGTTGGTTATGGAGTACTTGGTGGGTATCAGTAGAGAGTATCCAGGTTGTTGGTTATGGAGTACTTGGTGGGTATCAGTAGAGAGTATCCAGGTTGTTGGTTATGGAGTACTTGGTGGGTATCAGTAGAGAGTATCCAGGTTGTTGGTTATGGAGTACTTGGTGGGTATCAGTAGAGAGTATCCAGGTTGTTGGTTATGGAGTACTTGGTGGGTATCAGTAGAGAGTATCCAGGTTGTTGGTTATGGAGTACTTGGTGGGTATCAGTAGAGAGTATCCAGGTTGTTGGTTATGGAGTACTTGGTGGGTATCAGTAGAGAGTATCCAGGTATTGTCGGAGGTTTACTGGATTCTAGACCGGTTATCCAAGTTAAATTACTAAAATGTTAGATCTTATCTGCCTTAAGGTCTGAAAGTTTTTGGTTTTTCATCACCGTCCAAAATTGAAACTCTTACTTTGTATTTTGGCTCGCTGTGACGTAAGTGTTTCCGTTACTTTAAACAGTTTAAAAAACATAATTTTGAACTATACGTACTCAGTTTAAACTTCAAGTACACTTGCACTGACCTTTCCAACCCCACCTCAAGCCCACCTCAAGCCCACTTCAACATCCCCTCAACATCCCCTCAAGCCCACCTCAAGCCCACCTCAAGCCCACCTCAAGCCCACCTCAAGCCCACCTCAAGCCCACCTCAAGCCCACCTCAAGCCCACCTCAAGCCCACCTCAAGCCCACCTCAAGCCCACCTCAACCCACCTCAACCCACCTCAACCCACCTCAACATCCCCTCAACCCCACCTCAACCCCACCTCAACCCCACCTCAAGCCCACCTCAAGCCCACCTCAAGCCCACCTCAACCCACCTCAACCCACCTCAACATCCCCTCAACCCTACCTCAAGCCCACCTCAACCTCTCTAAAACGTCTCTGAAATCACACCACGTTTCTCTTCACAATTAGCGACTGTATGCTGGCTACAACACGTATAATGTATTGAGTGTGCAGGGATGTCACCAAGTGTTACCTGCCCCAACCATCCTACAACAAACAGGCTCAATAATTATGACGTTGTTACTCTGACCTTATAGTCTGTATACCCTGTATTCTAGCAGCTAGTAGCTAGTAGGATACAGGTTACAGCTAGTAGTATAGCTTCCTGACTCCTGAGTATGCTTTGTTAGTGCTATCCAGGGCTCGCTCAATTGGCTACGAATAAAATACATATTATTATGGTAATTATATAGTATGTACGTGGGGTGTAGGTAGTAGTTAGTGAGGTGGCAGTTATTAGTGAGACAATGAAAGTGTAAAACCCTTTGAACCCCCTGTTTTACTCCGCTGGTGCGTGTCCAGGTCACCAGGTTACCACACCGGTCCGGTGCCTGGGTTACCGATCTTAATAGAGCATGCACTGCTGAACTGCCTCCAGCAGGGAGCTATATGATACGTGTGTTACTTTGGTAACGCACGCTGTTCCACTTAGATACACTCAAATTATCAGAACTCTATACGGCTCCTTATTATCAGAATTCAGAGCTATTGTA